TTCCCCTGTTCATTTATTCATTTTTATTTGAGGGATGTCTCCCATTCCTCTCTGACGCACCCTGTACTGGGTGTCCTGTCGGAGTGAGTGACGTCAGGGATCCAGCTGTGCGCCTCTCTCCTGCCTCTCGGCACGCGGAGAGCGGCCCTGTTATTATAGGAGGGAGGTTCCTTTTTCCTCTGACACACTTTGTATGGAGTGCCTGGTCAGAGTGAGTGACGTCAGGGATCCAGCTGGGCGCTCCCCTACCTGTCTGATACGCAGAGAGCTGCTGTTCCCCCTCTATGATCGCAGGACAAGGTGGGACCTTCGTCTCTACTTTCTCACAGCGGCCGGTATGTATTGTTCCCAGCCTTCACCCCGTCGGGAAGATAGGCATGTTTGGCTATGTTCCAGGGATAGTGATGCGCCATTACGCATGGCACAACAGGCAGGGGGTGTTATTGAGCAGGTGTGTCTGTACTTCTAGTGCCGGGCGGACCCAGTGGGGCGCAGACTATATCATGCTTCGCCCTTAACCCAATAGCGATAGCCTTTGAGGGCGAAGCCATATACGAAATATAACCTACTGTAACCCCAGCTTCTATGAGTAAATGGCGCAGCCCTCTAAGTGCGGGGCCCCACTGGCTCTACGAATAGCTGAAGAAAATGTTATTTTGTATGGGAGCAGATTGCCGGGCCCCCTTCCTATTTATACCGGAAGGAGGCCCGAGGGTGGGGCCCACCTAGCGAGTAGGCGTGGACTACAAGTTTTTTAGTGCTGCGCGGGGGTTCAGGGGGATAACCCAATAGCGATAGCCTTAGAGGGCTGCGCCATTTACTCATAGAAGCTGGGGTTACAGAAGGTAAGGTCAGTTCCTGCGGATGCCTTTTGGGCTCAAGAATGCCGCTCAAATGTTCCAGCACTTGATGGATTCGGTGCTGCGGGACTTGCCGTTTATGTCCGTCTACCTGGACGACATACTCGTCGCCAGCGCTTCGTTGGAAGATCACCTGTCACACCTCCGAGCCCTTTTCACGAGGCTCAGCCAACACGGGTTGATAATCAATCCAAAGGCGGTGCAGCACCCCTGCCGGCGAAGGTTGAGGCTGTTGCGGCGTTTCCTCGCCCGCACACAGCCCAGTCGCTCCGTGAGTTCCTGGGGATGGTGACTTTCTACCACCGTCGCCCGGGCAGCCCACATTATGCGGACGCTGTATGAGGCGTTGAAGGGTAAGGCCCCCATCCAGGAGATCGACTGGACGGCGGATGCTGAGGTGGATTTTAAGGACGCCAAGTCCGCTCAGGCGGCCCTGTTGGTGCACCCATCGTCCACGGCTCCCATCTCCATTACCACAGACGCATCGGACTACGCCGTTGGTGCGGTGCATGAGCAGTGGGTGGAGGGCGCTTATCAGCCACTTGCCTTTTTCAGCCGTCAGCTGATGCCCAGGGAATGCAGGTACAGCGCTTTTGACCAGAGCTCCTTGGACTCTGGCTGGCCGTGTGGCACTTCCGTTTTTTGCTGGAAGGCCGTGAATTTATGGTGTTTGTTGACCATAAGCCGCTCACGTTCGCCATGTCAAAAGTGGCGTAGCCTTGGTCTGCACATCAGCAGCGGCAGCTTTCTTACATCTCGGAGTTCACAACAGACATTAAGTATGTGGCTGGCAAATCAAACCTGGTCGCAGATTGCCTCTCCAGGGTCGTCATCGGGGCCGTCCAGTTGGGCCTGGACTATACCCGCATAGCGGCGGACCAGGTCACGGACCCCGGCATCCAGGCCCTGAAAGAGGATAGCTTGGGCCTGCGCTTAGAGGACGTGGTTTTCGGTAACGCGGGCGTTACTCTCCTGTGCGACGTCTCCACGGGCCTTCCGCGGCCAGTCGTTCCCGGTGCCAGAAAGGAGGTTTGACCACGTCAACATCGACCTGGTGGGTCCCCTCCTCTCCTTACCATGGTGGACAGGACGACCCGTTGGCCAGAGGCGGTCCCTCTTGTGTCAACATCGGCAGCTGACATAGCCCGGGCTTTCATTGCGACGTGGGAGTGTCGTTTTGGCACCCCGTCTGACATTTCCTCAGACCGGGGTTCGCAGTTCACGTCCGAGGTTTGGAACGCCGTGGCGAGTGGTTTGGGGGTTAAGCTTCATCACCCTCAGGCTAACAGCCTCTGTGAACGTTTCCATCGCTCCATGAAGGCAGCACTCCGAGCCAGCCTGAAAGATGGCAATTGGGTCGACAAACTGCCTTGGGTAATGCTGGGCCTGCGGACCTCGCCTAAGGAGGATCTGCAGTGTTCTACGGCTGAGATGGTCTATGGTCAGCAGCTGAGGGTTCCAGGGGATTTCCTCCCTAACACGTCGGCTCCCTGGTCGGCGTCGGCCCAGCGGGTTTGCCTGCAGGACTCCGCTGAGGCTTTTGCTCCGATTTCCAATGCTCAACATGGTACTCAGGTGTCCCGGGGTCCCGCGGATCTCCGCTCGGCGGGGCACATCTTCATCCGGCACGACGCGCACAGGGGACCCCTGCGGCCTCTTTACGATGGACCTTTCTGGATTTTGGAACACAGTGACAAACACCTGGTGGTCGACCTGGGTGGTAAGGCTGAGTGCATCTCGGTGGACCGGGTGAAGGCTGCCCACTTGGATTTGGACCAGCTGGTGGTGCTGGCACGGCCTCCGCGACGGGGCCGCCCCCCGGCCTTAATCCCTGTCACTGAATTGGGAGCCATTGTTCAGGTTTCCGCCTCTTCCGGCGACCGCCCCTATGGTGGTTGCTTTCCCAGCTTCTGTGCTCAGGAGTCGTGGTGGCCGGCCTGTCGTTCCTCCTCACCGCACAGACTTTGTTTATGGGTGAATTCTGGGGGTGCTTGTGTGGGGGCACATTATGGGACATAATTAACTGTGGTATTATTGTGTACCTTCTTAAAGCATATTAATGTATCGAGCCTAATTTACCTACATGTTGCTAACTTATAACTTAACTGATGAGGTGATATACCTCACCTCTATGAGTGGCCCTTCGTATATATTTCTGTATGTGGCCCTCTGTGAAAAAAGTTTGGACACCCCTGCTTTAAACTCTTTGGTAACAATTTGTATTATTGCTGGGCAACGATTAAACATTTTAATCATGATTAATCAAATGATTTTCTGCGATTAATTGCATTGTTATGCACGCAATTCAATAATGAATTCAGAAGTAGTGTATTGATTACTTGTTCGCAAGGAGACACAGAATCTAACGGTGCCCACCTCAACACTGAAAGATACAAACTCGCGACGTTATCAACAAAAACGTACATCAAAACAAGTGGCGCTAGGTAGCCCACAACGCTAACATGGCTTACCTTCGTCTTGTTCTGGTCTAAATTCGTCTTCAATGGCATTAAAACGATAAAAACGATGCTGTAGTTAATCCATAGGTTAATCCAATGTGACTGCGTCCCCTTTGAAATGTTCTGATAATCCATAAGCAATAAAACAGCTTTTCCGTTGCTTGAAAGCAGCGATATTTCTCCCCTCTGCTGCAAGCTAGGATGCGCAGAGACGCTACCTTTTTCTTTTAACATGAGTGTGTGCGGGATGATTTCCCTTGGATTCTATTGGCTCTAACGGTCAGAAAGAGATGTCACATGTCAAAATCGAACAAGGGGGGCCAGAGATATGGAAAATCCACCCAAATGGCCCCAGAAGAGGGTTTTTTTGCTAAATCTGTCTAAAAAGGTCAAATATCACTTGTTTTGCATCAATCTTGATACAGGGTACTTATTATATGTTGTACTTTGGATTCCTAAAGCGTTTCGTCTACTAACCCATCATCCAAGGTTAGTTTTCACTATAAGTACAAAATATTATTTGGACGGACACTATAATTTACAGTTTTTTACCATGTTCAATCTGAATTTTCTTTAAAATAAAAAACACATCTATATTGATTCTGACTTTTCTACATCTAACTCACAGGTTTATAATTACTTTGAGAAAAAAGATTATTAATTTAACCCTTCTAGAAGGGAAGATATGGTCATTTGTTCTGGGAATGTCATTTTCGAGCCTGAAACCTGAAAAACAGGCTTGGGGCTTAACAGGTTAACAGGTTGAATACCAACCAACTATGTGCTATATGTGCAATATATATTTATGCCGTTAATAACTGTGCAATATATACCTGGCTGCTAAACTATACAAACTGTTACAGGATGTGTATTTTGTAAATTGTCTTAATTTTTTATTATTTTTTAAATTATATTCTTAATTATATTATAACTTTTTGTTTTTACTTTAATACTTTTGGCAAATAATCAAGAAACATCATAAATAAAACACTGACAGGGAAAATGTTATAGCAGTATCATTACTTTTACATAAGAAGGTGTTCATTTCTGTTAATACCTGCGTACTTTTACTTAAATAAGGTTTAAATGCAGGATTTTAATTTGTAATGGAGTATTACCATTATATAGGCGTAGTGTATCTGTTAACGATGCCAAATACAATTAATTGTTTACATTGTAGCAAGTGCTAAACCAGAAGAAAACCCCCTTTTTCATTTGTAACTGGAAGTGGAAAGGGGTTGGGCTACATGAGGTGAATTGAGACAACAAAAATATACAATAGGTGGGACTAAGAAAGATAATATGAAAGTGTAAAAACAAAAGCATTAATTAGGGCTGCAAAATGTCTCCCATTGTAATGGTGATTACATTTTTAAATGCTAACACTTAACAGTTTTTTTCTGACTGCGTTTCCTGTTTCCTGCAGATGTCCAGCTGGTGGTGGTTAAAGAAGAGGTTCTCCCTGACCAGCAGGAGTGGAGCACCAGTCTGGACCAGGAGGACCCAGATCCCCTCCCACACATTAAGCAGGAACAGGAGGAACTCAGGATCAGTCAGGAGGGATATCAGCTTCAGGAGCTGGAGGAGGCTGATATCACCAAGTCCACTTTCACTCCTGACTCTGTGAAGAGTGAAGATGATAAAGAGAAACCTCAGTCCTCACAGCCTCGTCAAAGACAAACTGAACACATGGAAACAGAAGCTGATGGAGATGACTGTCGAGGACCAGAACCAGCCAGGAACTCAGATCCAGAGAGTAGTTTACAACCAAAGACTGAGGACGACACTGGAGACTCTTCTGAACCTGACACTGAAGACAGTGCTGATTGGAAAAAGACCAGAGAACCTGCGTCAGGCACAAACTCACTGAAAAATAAACATGAATCTGTCAGTGATTCAAGCCGTAGTATTGAAAATAAACCATTCAGCTGCTCAGTCTGTAAGAAAGCTTTTTCACAGAGTAGGAATGTAAAGGCACACATGAGAATCCACACAGGAGAGAAACCATTTAGCTGCTCAGTTTGTGAGAAAGCTTTTTTACGGAGTGAACATTTAAAGGCACACATGAGAATCCACACAGGAGAGAAACCATTTAGCTGCTCAGTTTGTGAGAAAGCTTTTTTACGGAGTGGACATTTAAAGGCACACATGAGAATCCACACAGGAGAGAAACCATTTAGCTGCAAAGTTTGTGAGAAAGCTTTTTCACGGATTGAACATTTAAACACACACATGAGAATCCACACAGGAGAGAAACCACACAGCTGCTCAGTCTGTAAGAAAGCTTTTTCACAGAATATAGACTTAAAGAGACACATGAGAATCCACACAGGAGAGAAACCACACAGCTGCTCAGTCTGTAAGAAAGCTTTTTCACAGAATATAGACTTAAAGAGACACATGAGAATCCACACAGGAGAGAAACCACACAGCTGCTCAGTCTGTAAGAAAGCTTTTTCACAGAATACAGATTTAAAGAGACACATGAAAATCCACACAGGAGAGAAACCCTTTAGCTGCTCAGTTTGTACCAAATCTTTTGCATTGTGTGGACATTTAAAAAAACACATGCAAATCCACACTGGAGAGAAAGCACACAGCTGCTCAGTCTGTAAGAAAGGTTTTTCACAGAGTGGAAATTTAAAGACGCACATGAGAGTCCACACAGGAGAGTAAATATACAGCTGCAATGTTTGTGATAAAAGATTTAAATGGCGTAATGATTTCAAAAGACACAAGTGTGTTGGTCGTCAGTCCTCACAGCTTAATGAAATTCAAACTGAGAATAACAGAGGCAGAGCCTCCAATCATCAGCTCAGCTGAACACATGGAAACAGAAGCTGATGGAGGACAATGAATAAGTCTTATGACAGTTCACATGAGAAAAATCTGTCTGACTGGATTAACAATGTTGCACAATATTCCTATGCGTCTTAAATGAACTCCATCTTTATCAACATAAGTGGACAAAATGTTTAATGTTTTTGTCATACTGATTTTCTGATACGTTTACTACTGACTGTTGATGAACCATTTTTATTTTGGATTGAGGGCTCCAAGTTTCCATATAGAGATATAGGATGATTTAATGTATTGTTCTTTATTTCTAAATGTTTTGTATCATTGCTATCCTGTTAATGAGCCCTGTTTCACATAAATGTACCTGTTATCTGATTGTTTTTGCTTCTGTAACTGTAAGGGAATACATTTTCCTATTTTGTATCCTGATGACCTAATGCAGTTATATGTAATACGTTACACCCTAAGCCTGATTTCACCCACCTGCAACCGATTCGCTAATAATCACAAATATTCATTTATTTGACCCCTTGACTCGACTATGTCTTGTTTAACCTGTTAAGCCCGAGAGACCCCAGTTCCGGGGGCCTGCTGCAATATTTTGCAGAAAACAGTGTCTGAGGGCATGTTCATTTAATAAACTATGAATGTTTTATATCCATGTAACGGAAATAAACTCATCTAACTGATCATTTTAATTTTTTTTTCAAAAAAAACCCCACAATGCTAACCCTGAGCCTCTGAATTAGCAACGAGCGAAAAATCACACCGATATTCACTCACAAAACCTTATTATTTATCTTTGCTGCACATCTCAACCCATCGTTTCACATCGTGAGGGGACACAGAATCGATGGGTACCCTCATTATCACTCAAGTATAGGAATTCCCGGAGATAATGACAAGAAACCACATCAAAATATATGGAGCTAGTTAGCCAAAAACGGCAAAATGTCTCACCTGTGTGGTAGTCTGGTCACAAGTGGTCTTCAATGGCATTAAAACGATGCTGAAATTATTCCGTAGGTTAATCCAATGTGTCTGTGTCACTTTGACTGATTTCTGATTTCTTAATGCAAACGTTTTGTAAAGTGATGCTAGACCAAAAACGTGCTGTTGGATTGTGTGCTCTCTGAATGACGGGTCTGTACTCAAAGATTGTTGATGAAATGAGAGCTTCACTCTGTTTTTGTTGTCCAAACAACGGTAACAGAGAGATACGTCTTCTTTCCAGCAGATGACATAAATGTTACATCATCCAGTTCAACTGTTATCCACATTGTAATGATTCAAAACAGCAATGTGTAAGATATGGCTATTTCAACAGAATGTGAAGAGGTTACAGTCTTGAGGCCATGTCCAATATGTTCATGTTTTGTTTGATTAAATCTACTGAAATGAGCATTTAATAATTAAATTATTCTTAATTACTTTCATTACATCATGGGTTTGCATTGCAATATTAGAACGCATAAAACCCAACTTTATTTCTTCCAAGTTGCGGGTGTTCATTGTTTAGAAGTCTGCTGTGTTTCATCCAAGCTTCTTCGTTGTGCTCCGATAATGCTGAAAGTATCCGTTGTATGCTTTACCTGCTCCAGTAACAAAAGTGTAATTCACTGGACATCGACAAGAGATAGTGGATGGATCCAGAGGAGAACCAGAAGATAGCCCGTATAGAGCCTTCAGGTTCTGAAAATGATCAGGGATAGAGCTAGAAGATAGCCAGTATAAAGCCAAGAAAGATCAGTAGAAAGACAGGAAGGAGCCAAAATAGTTTGTATTTTTTATTTTGTAATATTCAAGCTCTTCTCTTAAGATATTAGAACTTCCTATCACAACATGTATCCTTTTATTTCAATTAAAAAACTTTACTTTTTTGCTGCCAATTGTTGAGATTGTTTCTGAGCTTTATCTTAAATATTTAGACTTTTTTTTTTACATATAGATGACATAGGATGAACAGCACGATCCACTCTGCTGGATTCTGCTCTAAATGAATGCAAACATCTCGCTGTATCCAAACTCCTGCAGTTGTATTGTTCTGGATTCATAGTGAAGTGTATGAGATGTTCTGCACTGTTATTGTTATGTATTTTATATAAAGTGAAATACCCATAACAAAATTCAGAAAAGAAAAGGGACCCAGTTAAGGAAAAAGGTTCTGAACCAGTGAGAGTTCTTCATTTGCACATAAACATGGTAAAATATTTAGAGTTGTGACCAGATGGTGTCGCCCTCTGCACACATTTAACGCTCTGCATTTTATTGATTTATTTAGCCTTTTATACCACACTGCAAGTCTGACATTTATTAATGAGACTACAGGAAGTTACACTGCAGATTTAAACACTTATAAACACAGCTCAAGTTTTTCACAGCCAGAAATATTCAGGCAGAAAAATCAGTGCCTGTTTAATCAAAGGGAAAGCAATCATCTAAGACAACATTTGTGAAGCGGATAAAATCAACTCAGCGTACAAGACACATAAATCCTGTGATGTTTGGACATAATCCAGGCTCTATGTTCACATAGAGAAGGATATCACAGTGTTTTGGGGCCTATGTCGGTTAAAAGCCAGCAGAAGGGTGTATTAGTCTGTCAAATAACTCGTAAAGTTGTAAATTAACAAGAAAGAAACTGTGATAGTGTTTGAAGCTTGTTCTCCCCCAGCTCTCCTACGTGATGTCCGGCTGGCGTTACTTCGTCTGCCCGGTGGAGTTCAACAATGACTCCAACCGGTTCCAGGTGGACTGCGAGCCGTTGGAGCTTTTCCAGCTGCAGGACTACACCCTGCCCTCCGTCCTGGAGTCCTTCACCGGATGGGTGGGGCCAATATTCCGCCGATATTCCGCATTTGACCGATTATCGGTATCCGCCTTTTTTTAAATCAAATTGCCGATACAACTTTGGCTCTGATACGGCCGTTTCTCTGGCTGCAGTCACCACTCTGTGTACACGAGCTATCTGATAGGCTATTACTGAAGATTTTCCGGGCGGGAGCCAGCCAGAGGGGCGGGACCTTCTCAGATTACAGGCAGGTGCGAAAGAACGCAGACACAGACTGAAGCAAGCAGCAGCGCTGAGCGGCAGAGCCATACATGTGTTAAACCGAAGTTCAATAAACATCGCTATCCCCTATGCTGAAGTTGCAAAAACACCACGATCTTATGATCCAATTCTATCAGTTTCCCAGTTACACAGGGACGCGGGAAGTCAGTCAGAGTTGGGGGTGCGTGCAGCGTCTCGCAGCGGAGTAACTGTGGAGCGGAGGGGGGGGAGGGGCTGCGAGTGGAGCCTCGCAGTTTTTCAGGTTGATATGTGCAGCTCATTAGCTAGCCAACATGTATCTAGCAAATGTTTAGCAAAATATTAGAAGTGAAGCTACTAGACTAACGTTAGGTCTACTGTAATAGCCTCACTTTTAATAGTTTGCAAAACATTAGCTAGCACTAGTGTTTTGCAGTTGCTAGCAGCTTATTGGGATTGTATGCTAGATAGACAGATATAATAAATTAAGCATTATTGTTAGTTAAGCATGTCAGCCTGCAGCCCCACTTATTGTATCTCTCTCTAACTCATAGCAGATGACTGCACTAAAGAAAAGGGCACAGAGAGGAAACCAGTTGTAAGATGTTTAACAGTTAATTAAACATAATATATGCTTAAATGCATTTCAAAGAAGTTGTGTTGAGTTGTGTTGGAGTTTGTGTTATTCTACATTTTGACACCAAGATTTTCTGATATTACTGCAAATATAAATATATATCGGTTCCAAATATCGGTTATCGGTCTCCTTGATTACTAATAATCGGTATCTGTATCGGTTTAACACCAGGATTTTATCATACGTTTCAACCTCATTATATTTTTCTCAGCCAGGTTTGATTTAGATACTAAAAGCCTGGGGATGCAAGTCCTATTTTAGCCAAATAACTAGTAACTAGTTTAGTTTCACTGAACTGCTGGTCTCTGTTTCAGTCTGACACATGTTCCCTGTCTCCGCAGACCACGGTGCGTCTGTATCCGTTCCAGATCCACAGCATCGCTCTCTCCTCCTTCGCCTCCTTCATGGGACCCTTCGGAGGATTCTTCGCCAGCGACTTCAAGAGAGCCTTCAAGATCAAAGTAGGGATTTCTGACACGTTTGTTTACTTCACAACAATCCAACTATCCTTTTATTGTCTGTTGTCTTTGCTCCATGTATATTATATTCATAGCAGCAGTCTGATCACACGTACTGTTGTTTGTTCTTCCAGGATTTTGCCAACACGATCCCGGGTCACGGTGGCATTATGGACCGGTTCGACTGCCAGTACCTCATGGCCACATTTGTTGACGTCTACATTGCCAGCTTCATCAGGTAAACACACTGCTATGGCTTGTTCATATGTTTTATAACCTAATCAGCAATGTACAGTGACAGTGAAGAAATTCATCATCAAAGTTAGTGGTTATTTATTTTATTTCCGACTGTAAGAGAAAGCATTTTATTTCTTGAAGAAAGCAAACTGTTGGTTGAACATTAAATTAGCTAGCTTGCTAATAACCATTAAAGAGTTATCTCTGTCTCTTCTTGAGTTGTGTTATGTCTTCCTCTGACACTGAATAAATAAACAAACATGAAACAAAAGTATGAATTTAGTTTGAGACTTTTCAGTATTGGTTTATATCGCTGTAGGGTGCCTTTGAGACTTCATGAAAAAAAAGATTTTAAATGTAACTTCATATTGAGTTTACTATGTAGATCAGGCTCTAAAAATGCTATGTAGTCAAGCTCCAGCACTTTTTATAAACGAACTCAAAGCAGATAAAGCACGGGGTTCCAGCTTGAACCCTCAGAAAAGGAGTCCTCAAGTTTAACATGTTCATATTTTTTGTTTCAAATATTTTCATTGAGAAGATGAATACAAGTGTTAGCAATGATACAGACTTCTTTTCAACATAGAAGACAAACAGAACAGCCAACAAGAGATAACAAAGAAAAAACATAGCTTGACAGGAATACCATACTCAATGACATACATAGTCATACTGTGAAAGAACATACAAAATAGTTTATGTAATACAAATAAATAAACTTAAAGGTTATGTTCATATTTTTCGTATTTATTCTTCTACCACCCATCAATTTATTTGGGATCGATGGTGAGATTTGATAGTTCTAATCTTAGTAATTTCCCTCCCTAATTATCTCCCCTCTCCTCTCAGGGGCCCGGACCCCAGCAAGGTGATCCAGCAGCTCCTGGCGCTGCGCATCGACCAGCAGCTCCACATCTTCAACTCCCTGACGGAGAAGGGTTTCCTGCCGGCGGTGGAGGACGTCATGGCCTAGAGCCCCCCCCCCCCCACCCCACCCCGACACACTGTGGCTCACCCTAAGGGGGAGGAGAGAGAGGAGGGAAGCACCCCGAGGACCCCCTGCTGACCCGGGGCACTGGCAGTGATTTGTGTGTGAGCGAAAAACACATCAGAGAAAAACGGCAAAAAACGTCAGCTTTTGTTCATTCCACGTCCTTTGGTTTGAGAGTCCAGTGTTTTGTGAGTTACTGTACTGTTACACATTTCTGTTATAGATGACTTGTATTACCACTGTTGGTCAGATAGACATTTCTACCTGGATATCCTCTATATACCTATTAATGTGTGTTTTTCAGTTTGAATGCACTGCTCTCAACACTCACTGTAGTGTATTGTTACTCCACAGATGTGTGAGGAATAGCTAAGTTACCCTAAAGTGTTTGACAGGATCAGTTACAGATACAATCCTCCATACAAGAATATTGTTTTATTTTGAAGGCCAGTGCGACTGACACCAGCACCCTCTCAGAATAAAGGTCAATCCTTTGCAGAAAAACTCTCAGAATACAATCATGATTTTGTTGAATTGGCTTATTCTCTGGGACATAGTTTTAATCTCTGACAAAGAGCTGTTTTATCACATGTTTTGTAAGCTGGTGGGATTGGTGCATCTGTTTGTTACATTGGTAGAAACAATAATGGTTTCTACACTGCCAATATCTGCTTCTTTATGCTGTAAAGTTAGCAGCTTCAGGGCAGAAATACAGATTATATACAGCATGTGTTTATCACTGGTGGACCTGTGTGTGTGTGACAGCAGCTGTGCCAGATGTGACCTGATTGCCAATTCAAGGTGTTTTTCAGAAAGGACCCTTTGATATTTATACCAGTGGCAAATGTTCACTTCATTTGGTGGTTCAAATATAAAAGATTCTCTAATGTTGAGTTTATTTTGTTTTCTTAAGGGGAAGCGCCCCGGGTAAAAATGTCCGTATGATGTCCTTATGACTTTTTGTTGATATTGATAAAGAAAGGGAAAGCAGGTTTGGCTTGTGCTTCAAAACTTCCAAAAAGGCCAACAACTGGTACAAAGTAATATTGCTAAGTTCATCAACAAATGGTCACATCTTTCTGGGTTATTTTGGGAACAAACATCTGTATTCAGTGTACGTGGGTCCCACTCTGGTTGGATACAGATAAAGGCTCTTATATGTTACCATAATCATCCAATCACATCAGGTTGTCCATCATGTCTGTGCAGATCCATCCTTTTGTTTCCATCCAATCAGAAAAGATATCATTTATCTTCGTCAGTGAAAGCCAAATGAAGTACCTTCCGTGTAAATGTAACCCTGGCTATAGAAATGCTGTGTTTATTTGTAAAGGACAAAATAGCAATATGAACAATCATACAGTGTCAGTGTAGCATAAATGTGAAGTTAAGTATCTAAATGCTATTCTTAAAAATAAATAAAAAACAGCGTACGTTTGTGTTATTATCTGTGACTGCTTCACGTAATCCTTTGGGAAATTATTTGCCATTTGAAATATCCATTTTATTGGGTTCTGTCCTCTGTAAAGCTGTATATGTTTAAGCAATTTACTCACTTTTTTGTAACAACATTTGCTTCATTATGGCAATCAATTTCTAAAGCGATAATGAATGTATAGACTCTTCCTTTTCTCCCTTTTCCACTTTCACTCCATCATTTTATTAATGTCATTTCATGTCTTAACTTCTTAAAGTATTTATTGACTGTGAAAAAACCTTTTCAAAGGGACTATATTGTACATTTCAGAAGATGTTTAGAAACGGTGTTTGTCAAGTTCTTCAGGGTTTTGGCATGTACATAGTGATTTAGCCCGAAATTGAGAGGCTGCAGGGCAACAGAGGACGCTTGGAAAACTCGGATTTTGTTCTTTTTTGTCTTTATTTTTAAAAGACAACTCCAAGAATTTTCATCAGGTTGAAAACCTTCAAAACACAAAGGACATATCTAGAAGATATGTAGAAAATAAACTTATTTGAGATACATTCATAACAAACGTAACGTGGGAGAAAATACGTTTCTAGCTAAACGTAATTGAGAATGCAGTTTAGTTCTGTGGGAACGTCATTTTTAGGAGACAGGGTTGAAAATACACATCAAACAAATGGAGCGCAGGCAGACCACGCTGCGTAAAAAAGCCGTCGATTGCGCAACAGCACTCTCACAAAGTAATCAATAAATCAATCAATGTTTATTTATATAGCCCAATATCACAAATGTTAAATTTGTCTCAGTGGACTTCACAGTTTGTACAGAATATCAGTATGACAATACGACACCCTCTGTCCTTAGACCCTCTGTCCTTAGACCCTCTGTCCTCAGACCCTCACATCGTACAAGGAAAAACTTCCGGAGAAAACCCACAGTTTAAAGGGAAAAATGGGAGAAACCTCAGGGAGAGCAACAGAGGAGGGATCCCTCTCCCAGGACGGACAGAAGTGCAATAGATGCCGTGTGCAAATTGAAAAGATAATACATTTGCAACATAGGTAATCCAAATGTTTGGAAATGCATGTGTGTATAATAGGAAGATGAATCCACGAGGATATCCATCCAGGACCTATGATCCAGGACCACAGCCACGACTCAAGATCCAGGGCTCGCGATGCAGGACACAGGACCGCAGGATCATCCATGACTCCGGATCCCAGCGTATATAGACACCAAAAAGAAAGAAATTTGGGGAAGCTGGGTTAATCGGAACATGAGAGTTCACAGGTATAGACAGAGAGAAGAAAGAAGTAAGATGTCCCCCGACAAACTAAGCCTATATCAGCAAAACTAGGGGCTGAATCTAATCAGCCCTAACTATAAGCTTCAAAAAGGAAGGTCTTAAGCGCACTCTTAAAAACGGATAGGGTGTCTGCCGCCCAAACACAAACTGGAAGCTGATTCCACAAATGTGGAGCTTGATAAGAAAAGGCTCTGGCTCCCATTGTACTTTTAGAGACTCTAGGAACAACCAACAACCCTGCATTCTTGGAACGCAATGCCCTAATAGGACAGTAGGGTATAATGAGTTCTTTAAGGTAAGATGGCGCCTGTCCATTAAGGGCGAGAAGAAGAATTTTCAATTATATCCTGTGTTCTATAGGGAGCCAGTGTAAGGCAGCCAGAACAGGAGTAATGTGGTCCCTTTTCCTAACTCTGGTTAGTACACGAGCTGCAGCATTTTGAATCAGCTGAAGCGACTTGACTGACTTCTTGGTACACCCTGATAATAAAGAGTTACAATAATCCAGCCTTGAAGTAACAAATGCATGGACTAGTTTCTCTGCATCGTTTTGAGGCAAGATATGTCTGATTTTTGCAATGTTACGTAGATGGAAGTAGGCGGTCCTTGAAATTGATTTTATGTGGGCGTTAAAGGATAAATCCTGATCAAATATAACACCAAGATTCCTTACAGTCTCACTGGAGGCCAAATTAATGCCATCCATAGTTAGTATATTTTTAGATAATTTATTTCGTAGATTCTTCGGGCCAAGTACAATAACTTCAGTTTTGGTCGTGTTTAACATAAAAAAATGTAAGGTCATCCACGTTTTTAAGTCCTTGAGGCAGTCTTGAATTTTATTTAGATGATTAATTTCATCAGCCTTGATTGATAAATACAGTTGAGTATCATCCGCATAACAATGAAAGTTTACAGAATGATTCCTTATAATATTGCCTAACGGAAGCATATATAATATGAACAAAATAGGTTCCGAGCACGTGGATATGTGGATAATTATGTAAATGATGCTGTATGATGTCCTTTTGTTGTTCTATTTATGTTTTTATGTTTCATGTGGAACTACTTGAGCAGGTCTCCCTTGGAAAAGAGATCAATGATCTCAATGGGATTTATCTGTATAAATAAAGGTTTGAAATTAAATTAAATCCCCCAAGGGAGTGCAGTCAGTCCAATATTATTTAACATCATGCATGATTAATGATATATTGACATGCTTAGACACATGCATACAATCGGCTCTGTGCGCAGATGATGGGGCTATTTGGATGAGAGGAAGAAATTTCCCATACGTAATGGAGAATATAGCTAGAGCGATTAAAAAAGTGGAGAGGTGGTCATATAACTGGGGATTCAAAATGTCAGAAAGCAAGTCATGCTACATGGTATTTACAAACAAACGCAAGATTGATGGCCAACAGCTAACACTATAGGATCGTCGAATGACAAAGGTGAATGAGTTCAAATACCTAGGACTGTGGTTTGATAGCAAATATACATGGAAAATGCATATTAATCAAGTGGAAACAAAATGCAAAAAAGTATTACATTTATGGCGAGCTGTAGCTGGATGCAACTGGGGCGCAGATAAACAAGCATTAATAGACATTTACAGATCAATTATGAGGTCCACAATAGACTATGGTTGTATAGTGTATAGAGCAGCAGCAAAAACATCGCTTTTAAAAATAGATAGAATACAATATAAAGCATTGCGGCTGTGTATTGGAGCGATAAAGTCATCCCCTATCAATGCAGTTCTGATAGAAGCAGGAGAGACGCCTCTGGAGATCAGAAGAGAGAAACGTGCTCTTTGTCATACTGGATCAGGGTACAAGGAAATGGAGAGGGAAATATTTCAAACAGAATATTACAGATTTGCTGGGAATATGCAAAAAAAAGGGACGTGGGTTTGGATGGACAAGTAAGGAAAGAACGAGGGCATATGGAGTGGAGAATTTCACGTTTGCCAAAGCAATCCCATTTAGCAGTGTTCCCCCATGGCTGTTCCCAGAAGCTAACATAGATATGAGTATTTTAGAAAGGAAAAAAGAGTGGCAAATAAATGGAGTGGGAATTAAAACAAGTATGTATCTGAACGAAAAGTACTACAATTTCCTACAAATGTATACAGATGGTTCTAAGAACAAGGAAGAGTGTGTTGGAGTTGGCATATACATCCCAGACTTCAAAATATCTATTTTAAAAAGAGCATCTGATCAATTATCAGTGTACACAGCAGAAATGCTTGCTGTAATAATAGGATTACAGTGGGTTGAAGAGGTCAGACCAGATAGGGTGGTTATATGCACAGATTCATTGTCCATATTACAAAGCATACAATCAACAACAACAACTACCAGAGAAGACATTCTCATATAACTGAATCATAGCCTGTTAAGACTTCACAGAGCGGGTATAGATCTGCAGTTCTGCTGGGTGCCTGCACATGAGGGGGTGGAAGGGAACGAGTGTGCTGATAAATAAGTAAAAAGTGCAGTACAAAAGCAAATAACATTACCAGTTCAACTTGGAAAAGGAGAAGGAAAAGCAGTCATTAAGAAGAAAGGGATGGAGATCTGGCAGAAAAGGTGGGAGAAAGACCAGAAAGGCAAAGAGTATCATAAAGTTCAAAAGACAATTACAATTAATATTTATAAAGAAAGAAACAGAAGGGAGGAAATCATGATGGCTAGACTCAGAATAAATCACACAGCATTGAATAGTACGCTGTATATCATGGGGAAAAGTGACAGTTACAAGTGTGCGAACTGTGCAGTAAAAGAAGATGTAGAACATATATTGTTACATTGTGACATCTATAAAGCGGAAAGAGAACAATTAAAGAATAAAGTCTTAGAGGCAGAGAGGGAATGGAGTGTGGTTGGTGTTTTGGGAACAAAAGGAGAGGGAGTAAGAGCTACCAGAAAGTCACTGTTTAAATTCTTGAGTGAAACTGGGGTAGGAAAAATAATGTAACATCAGGTCAGGAAAGAACATAGATTTGTTTTATTTATTTCATGGTTTTATTGATTTATTGATTTATTTTAATTTAATTTTGATTAGAGCACAAGTTAAAGAGTTGGAATGATGTGATGATTCATACTCATGTACAGTAGGTGGCGGTATGCACCTTTTTAAGTTGTTTGCAATCCGCCAAAAGCAAGAGAAGAAGAAGAAGTAATCTCTTTCTAACCTGGATCGAGGAGGCGTCTCGTCGCTACGGTTCTCTCTCTCTCTGTGTTCCGATAAAGTGTGTGTGAGCTCCAGCACTACTGATCCATCATCTGTGTGTCTGGATAAACCTCTGAATGGACTCGGTGCTCTTTTTTCTGGAGCGTTTAGCTCGGACTATAGGAGCTAGCTTAGCATGCTAGCTGGAAACACGTTAGCAACACTAGTCAGATTGAGAGTTTGATGGAGAGAGAAACGGTGTGTTTAACGGAGTTTGCAGGAAAAGGTGATCTATTAAACATGAGTAAAGTCAAAATGCTGCTGTCGTTGAAGAAGCAGCGACTCACTGCTGCTGCTGAAGAGATATTTGCTCTGTTTGAAAAAACGATAGCAGAACTCGAGGAGGAGCTGTCTCTTTCCAAAGAGGAGAACGAGAGACTCCAGAAACTACTGGACGCTGTTTTACAGCCTGAGCTTCGGATACACAGAGCAGGTCTGTTCCCTTTACTCTTAATTAACACTTTAAACCAGGGGTGTCCAAACTACGGCCCGGGGGCCAATGCGGCCCGCTGGCCATTTTGAATTGCCCCTCAGCTAATTCAAAAAGTATAATTTTAAATATGGCCCACAAATAAAAGTTGTGCTTTTCTTATATTGTACTAATTACATATATATGTACACGTATATTACACAGTAGTATTAATGTGTTAATTAGCCCACTTAAAACAATTAATTCAGTCAATTCATGTTAACATTTTCTAACAAATCTTAGTTGTGTGGGGCCACATTATGGGACATAATTCACCGTGGTATTATTTGTTGTTGCAACACGGACCAGTGAGTGAAGGTACCGTGTGTAGGTTGTCATACTAGCTTGACATGTATTAGCAAGCAGATGTAAGTACAAGAAAAGGTAAGTACCTTGTCTTGATGCTAATGGAAAATAAAGTGTGGAGTTCCATACTGAACACACCGCCTCTGACTCCCTTTCATCGGCTCTACACTGGTGACCTTGACATTTTCGTGATAGATTCCGAAGACTTAATGAACATGGCTGATCGCGATGTTTATGTTAAACTGCCGGAGTTTTGGGAGCATGCCGCTGCAGATTGGTTCACACACGTGGAGGCACACTTTGCCTGCCGACAGGTCCGTGACGCGGACCTGAAATATTTTCACGTGGTAGCAGTGCTGGGAAGCTCCACATCGTCCAGCTTGGTTAGATTTATTGCAGACCCCCCACGCCAATGCAAATGTGAGGCGATTAAGGCCCTTCTCCTTAAGACATTTAGCTTAGGGCCCGCCAGATTCTTGACATTCAAGGCCTAGGAGACAGCAAGCCATCTCAGCTCATGGAGAAAATGCTGAATCTGCGGTGGGGGGGAGGATCCCCAGATTTTGTTTAAGGAGACGTTCCTGCGCCACTTGCCTTCCCGGGTTCAGACAGCGCTAGCCAACACGTCCATTACTGAACCCCGCGCCTTGGCTGAAGAGGCCGACCGTTTTTTCCTGGCTACCCAGCAGACCTGTGCAGAGGCGCTAGCTGTGGCGCTCAGTGCCCCCTCACCAGTTAAGAAAGCTTGGGGGGGGGGGCTGGCCGCGACGGTGCCAAGCCGGTGTGGGGACACAGGAGTGTTTTTACCACGCACGGTTCGGGGCCAGGGCGAAGAAGTGCATCGCTCCCTGCAGTTATAAACCTCCGGGAAACGGGAGAGCCGGTGCTCAGTAGTGGCCCTGAGCGTTGGCGGCACGAGCAGGCTTCTCTTCGTTAGCGACAGTGTCTCAGGAAGCTTGTTTCTTTGTGACACAGGCGCTCAACGGAGTGTGGTTCCTGCGTCGAGGGAGGACGTCGCTCGAGGGGGACACGGGCCGCGGTTGACGACGGCTAATGGCGGCCCCATCCGCACGTACGGCGTGAGGCCTATGTGTTTGTGCAGTGTTTCCCCTATGTCTTGGCGAGGCTCCGCGCCCCGCCTGAAATTCAAGGTGTTTTTAATTTTTATTTTTTTAATTTAAAACATATATATAAAGCACCAAATTGCAACTGAAGTAATCCATCTACGGTCACTTTTCACATTGAACATGTGCTCTTTTATTAAATAAACTAAACACCTATGTTATTTATCCAATGTATGTGCATGTTTCAGTGTCCACTGCTTTGCGTATTCACATTCTCCCTCCGCTCTGTTTCTGTTTCCGCTCCCCCCCCACACACACACACGAATGCACACACTCACAATCAGAGACAAGAGCGGAGGAAAGGAGGAGAAGAACAAAGTGTAAAAAAGTCAAACAAATCTGCATTATTGCCCCGAGCTCTGCTGTCTGGCCGTGTGTGTGTGTGTCCAGTTTCACATTTGTTTATTATTTTTTAACCTCAAGCCGTTATCGTCACGGGAGAAGGACACACACAGCCTGCCCAGGTGGACGCGCACGAACGCAACAACGAACGTGACAAAGAACGTAGCGTGCGCATTCTAAAAATAGCTCACAGATGGTGAGCAGGTACCGCGGTTTTGAACTACAGTATTGAATTTCACAGAAAACAACAAGGAAGCGCCAGCAGAAGAATAGTCTAATGAGTTGGGTGAAAAAAAAGACGGGAGATGTGAGTTGGTTTATTCAGTAAATTAGCTCAGGATAATTGGACGTTCTGTCTACACCTCTTGATGTGAGGCTAATGCAGGATTTGCTAGCTTGATGCTACCGGCATTTAGCGGCAGTAACTCAACAAATTGCCTCTTAAAATGTATCGTCAGCAATGTATGACAAACAGACTGTTTGTTTAATGTTAGACTCACACCAATAGCTCAATATGATCATAACACGATTGCTTTCATATTAGAGATCAGATGAGGTGGAGCTGCCTCCAGCAATAGAGGATGAGGCAGAGAGAAGCAGCAGCAGCAGCAGCAGCACAGGGTTGCAGCAGGTATGTTATATGCTGTAGTCAGTCAGGTGATTTAAATGTATCAATGAAAGGAAGAAGTGTAGGCTACATGATAAGAAGGGAATACAGTTTGAATAAAAGTAATAAAGTACAGTGTAACACTGTACTTTATTACTTTCTAATGTACAAATACTTTGTTACTGTACGATATCAGTAATCCAATAATCCACAGCTCCTCTCTCTGCTCCAGAGGATAACAAAAATTCGGGCATTACCCTGCCAAGGCAGTAAACCTAGGGGAAACACTGTTGTGTATTGGAGGACAGCGGTTTCAGCTGGGATTTTGTGACGGCAGACATTTATTTTCCCCTCCTCGGGGCATACTTTTTAGGTGCTCACGGACTCCTGGTGGACGTTAAAAATAAACGCTTGGTTGATGCCTTGAGGTTTTCCTACCTTGTGTGTACTCTTGGCAAGGTGGCGTACGACAGGCTTTCAGGCTCGCTGTCGGGGGCGGACAGTTTTCTCAGGCTGTTGGCTGAATTTCCAGAACTGACGCTGCCCACTTTCTCTGCGCTCACCACGTCACCACCGAAGGTCCCCCAGTCTACGCCAGGGCCCTGCAGTTGAACCCTTTTAAGCTTGCAGTAGCGAGGGTGGAGTTTTCGACCATGGAACACCTGGGTATCATCCGCTGGTCTAACAGTCTTTTGGCCTCTGCTCTGCACATCGTTCCCAAGCTGAAAGGCGGTTGGCGCCCGTGTGGGGATTACCGCCGTCTCAACAACGCCATGACTACCCGGTGCCGCACATTCAGGCCGGTACGCTGGTTTTTTCTAAAGTGGACCTGGTGCGTGGATACCACCAGGTATCCCTGGACATTCCCAAGACGGCAGTGATAACGCTGTTTGGGTTGTTCGAGTTCTATTTCGTATATGGCTTCGCCCTCGAAGGCTATCGCTATTGGGTTATCCCCCTGCGCCCCTGCGCAGCACTGAAAAACTCGTAGTCCACGCCCACCCGCTAGGTGGGCCCCACCCTCGGGCCTCCTTCCGGTATAAATAGGAAGGGGCCCCGGCAATCTTCTCCCTCTTTTCTTCAGCAACCAGCACAGTACTAAAGCACAGCAATTGAGAATCATCATGAGCAACAACTGCGTCCGTGATTGTCCCTCATGTGGCTCTGGGTTCATAATGAGTTATGACCAGCAGAGATAAAAGCAGTATGCGAATCCTGCCTGGAGTCGGAGCACGTGTACGCGGCTCTTAACCAGCAGGTAGCATGCACACACTGCGCCCTTCTCCCCTCGGGCGACAGGAAGCGGAGAGCGGACGCTCTTGTGGCCAGGCTTACGAGCCGCGGACGGGTCCTCGTGTCCCTGGGGCCGAGTGCCGGGCAGGAGTCCGAAGAAAAGCAACTCCTGCGCCGCCTCCTTCCACGGTTCACCGTTCGGTTCTCCCCTCCCTCCTCTCCCACGGACGGGGGAGACAGAGTCGGAGCAGGGTGCCATCTTGGCGGCCGAACATGCTTTCCCCCTCTCCGTCACCACAGCGCGGTGGCGAATAACATTGCGCTGCTCTCCAACTCGGTGGTGACACTGGTAGAGCGATCCACCACCGAGGCAGAGGAAATCAGCAAGGCGGCCAGCACGGCGCTCATTCTGTGCGCGTCCGTTACTGTCTCCCACGCGAGGATTTCCGCGTGGGTGACACAGATCCAGTGCCACCTCTGGCGGAAGCAGGCGTCTGTTACGGAGACGGCCAGAAAAGTGCTACTGGACTCTCTAATCAGCCCGGACCCCAGTTCCACGCCATGGTGGAGTCCATGAAGACGGCCGCGGAACAGGCGGACGGCATTCACCAGCATGTACAGTTAGCTCCAGCCTGCTGAGCGCCCACAGCGGCACCAACGCTCGCAGCAGCTGCGGCCTCCACGCCGGCCACAGGAGGCCGCAAGCGGAGAGACGCCACAGCAAGACTCGCCCTTCGGCGGCTGCAGGGGTTCCGTCCCACGTCTCCGCTCCCCCACCACCCCAGAGACAGGGTCTCCCGGCGACGAGTCAAAGGGGAGTGAGGCTCCCCCGCTCCTGGTCTGCTCCGCGAGATCCTCCGAGGAAGCATAGCCGGTAATTAAGCCAGCTGCCACTAATCTGTTTAAGTAGACAGCAGGGCTCCCTGCAGAAGCCTGTTGGTTTTAACCTTCGGTTAATAACCTGCAGAGCTCGCGGCATTCCTCTGTCCGAGATACGCCTCCTACATACGGTCATAATAACCCATGAGCGCCGTTATAACGCCTCGTGTGGACAGCACTGCACATACCTCCATCCATCCCCTGAGTGTGTACGCACCTCATGATGAGAGCCAGAGTGAAATGCAGCGTGTGGAGATTCCCTCGCAGCCCTTTCGCCTCAAGAAGCGCAAGCGGCGAGGGCGTGGCTCGTCACCATGACGACCATTACAGCATATCTCAGAGAAGCCTCTTCACCCGCAGTTCCATGGGATACAAGAAACACTCCTGTCATCCCAGGAACAGTGTCTTGCGCTCCATTCAGCGCTGCTGGAACTCCTGTTGAAAGAGGATATTTCCAGGGTTCCTCAAAGGGA